GTATGAGAATCTGACCTGTCTTCTGGGTACCTTTAGCTAAATGCTACATTTGGCTAACACTTAGCTCAAACCTTAGCTACTTTTGCCATATCTTTAGCTATTGTTGCCAACCAGAGTCATATTTTACTCATTTTTATTTATCCTTCACCTGTGACATTGTACAGTCTGAGTGAGAAAGATCAGAGGAAAAAATCCTTCTCAGACATTTCACATCAAATTTACATAAAACACAACGAGTGTGAGATTCACGAGAGTGAATCCTGATGAATGTGGAAGAGTGTGTATGGAGTGTGTGAGCCTCCGTCTGTGAATTCACCTCCCTGTGGAAGATGTGACTAACGGATCTCGTGGTTCTCATTACCAGAGACACACCCTGGAAACATTTCGTATAGCTTCAAAATGTAAACGCTTTCTCATAAGACAATTTGAATAAAAACAAACACAAAAAAACAAACAAAAACAAACAAAAAAACCCTCAAGGATTGTTGGGGAAATTGAGCAAGCCCAAAACTTCACTTCACGAAGAATGTGAAATTATGAGAAACGGATGAACGGCCTCCTGAGGCACAAGTCACAAAAACACCAGAGGAGAGAAACTGCTGTTTCTAACAGATAGTGTTCGTGTGTGTGTGTGTTTGTGTGTTTGTGCCAAAACTGTTGTTCGCTGCAACTCAGCGATGTTAAATTCATCACTGAGGAGGCCAGTATTAAAAACTGGAGCCAAGTCCTGGGTCAAAGTGGATCAGTGTGTAGTCAAGAGCAGATGTTTGGTCAGATGGTCTGATAGTTGAGCTCACTTTCTTCTAACAAATTGAAAAAAAAAAAAAAAGACATTTTATTATCTCGCGGAGCCTGCAGTAGCAGACATGGTCGACCATGCCCTGAGGAGTACACAGAAGATCAATGTTAATAAGTCACTTTGCCCCAATCTAAAATTCAGATCTGAACGTTAGTTAAACACACGAAGGCTTTGACAGAGATCATGACCAATAACAATCACATGTGGGATTTGCAGGACCAGCCGCGGGGCGTGTACCAGAAACATGACAAATAAGTGTAGTGACATGAGGATCTACACAAACACGGAGCCTTTAGCTTCACTGACATGTCAGGACTGAGGTCCCAGGATGTGAATGAGACATTCAAAGAATTTGACTCTCACGTCAGCTGTTAGAGTTCAAGTTGGTTCAAGTTTGAGCCACAAAATGTATTCTTTAGAATGATTTATTTTAAAAACAATCCCGTTTACTGATCTGGTTTCACGATGCATCTCCCAACACCACTTTACAGATGACGTCACATTTATTTACAACCTAGGAATCAGAACTCAGTAAATACAGGGTTAAATGTTACCCATCACTGGCTCTATGACTGCAACAGGAAAGTGATACATAAAAACATAGATATACTGTATATATATGTATATTTATATACATATATATATATTTAAACTGGGTTTTAATCTGAGAATTCAAAGCCCAGGGCTGTGGTGTTTTTAGTTAGCCCCAGAATTTCCCTTGGTTAAATGCAGATACAGTCGTTTCTGTATATTTGTTCTTAGTTCACAAAAAACCCCATAATATTTAATTTATCTGGTCTGCAACTTTATATATACTGGCTAACATTTAGCTGTTTTTGCTAACTATTTTAGCTACATTTTCAATCTTGTAATCGTCTCTGTCGAAGTGGAGTAGAATCCGATCATACAAATAAAATCCTTTATTAAAACAAGATGTGAATTTCTAAACAGAATAATTGTTATCATAAAAAGGCAGATATAAACTTAGATACTGAGAACGGAATTTATCTCAAGGCCAAGGCTTGAATACAAATGACAGACCAGGCAGAGAGTGTGTGTGTGTGTGTGTGTGTGTGTGTTTCTATAGTCACGTAGCACCAAGACACACCAAAATAACTTGTTCTATTTAAAACAGTCCGTCTTCTGGTTTCATCATTCTAAATCTTTTGCTCACTTTTTATTTTAATTTAGAGTTTAAAACAGACTGAAATATTAGACGGTGTAAACCTGAGAAGCTCTTCTGCCACGGAACAATTTGAACAGATCTGCTGTCCACCGTTTCAGGCCGCAGACTTTTAATGGGGCTTTTAATGGTCCTGCGTGATTTCAGAGAGGCTGCACTTCAGTCGTGAATGTCACTCATGATCTCTTAATATTTGCTCCTCTCTTTTTTGTTCTCTTTTATTTTGCTTGAATTTAATGCAGTGGTGACGACCGCTGTCACTCTGTTCTGTGTTTAAAGCCTGACTAAACTCTTTCTACAGGGAACTCTGGGAGAACGTGGTGCACACATGTACACAGTAAGTTCAAACTGAGGCTCAACATGGCTGTCCATCTGCTTATCAATGATTTAATGGGCTCCGGGGAGGGGGGGCCTTAGAAGGTTAGAGGAAAAATAAGAAAAAAAGAACAAATTAAAAAAATATATGTTACTTTTTTTTATAAACATTTGTCCTGATCTGTACAAAAATAAACTGCTGTATTCGTAGGATACTGAAGTTCCCGATGGTACCTGAACGCACCTCGAGTGACAGCAGCAACAGCTTGGCTTGTTGTCAATATCTGTGTAGCCGCTCTGCTCCTCAAGTTAGCTTGTAGTTAGCTAGCGCTTACCTGTTTACAATTTTATTTTGCTAAACAAATGTAATAATTGTTGAATAGTACGAAAATACGAAAATACATTCTAAAAGTTGTCGTTAAGTTATACATTTTTACATATTTCTCCTGTAATGTTTCTATACTAATAATTATATTTAGTCACAAATAAGTTTAAACCCATACGTTTACCTGCTGTTTATTTGTTGTTCTCTTTAGCAACATACAGGGGAAAAAGTTTTTGTCTAATGTGAAAATGTTGATTTACCTCGATGATTAATCATATTTAATCGAGATTAATCCACTGCTACCATCTGATTAATTAAAACGTTTGACAGCCCTAATTAAACGGTGAAAAAAACTGTAATTTCTACAAAAGGTCTGTTTACCTTCTATTTTCATTATAAGAGAAATTATAAAAAATTCTCAGTTTTAATATAATTCTAAATGATTTAATTTCTGATATTCCCTCTCCCGCTCTCTCAAAGCCTCAGTCCTCCACTTTGTGAACCACTGGGCTAATCCACTGTAAGATCTAATGATCTTAAACCACTCTGATACTAATCATTTCAACCTTGGCCTCCAAATGAACATTTGTACCACATTTGAAGAAAATCCCCCGAACCTCGGGTTTCAAAGACAATGAGCTGGTTGTAGTTGTGGTGAACTCCGTTAACAAACCACTGATCTGTCCTCCACTTCACAGGGTTTTCCCTCCAAGACTGAATTCAACATTTGGAACCACTTGTTTTTTGGCAGAGTGTTGGACAGAATGATTTACTGTTAGAGCCCTGGTGTCAGCAAACATGCAGCTACATTCATGAGGTAGTTAAAAGTTTGGTAAAGAGCGAGGAAAAGAGAATGACAGAGGGATCACCCGGCAGCACCAGTGAAGCTGTAATTACCACACTGGGCCTGTGCACACAAACTGAAGTGTGAAAACAACAATTTCACGATGAATAAGAGCCGCCTGTCAAACAGCCAATCCTGTTTCACGCCTGTAAAATCCTGCCCAACAAACCAGATAATGTTCATTTTCTCCAGCTGACAAATCCCTGTAACATCCACCAATATGTCGCCGCCAAATGTTTTGATGGATTTGACAATTCTGAAAAAAAAGTCTTAGTTTTAGGCTAGAACTGCTGAGGTTGCACGTATGTTGGCAGGGAAATTGTAGTGTGCACTGGTTCATCGGAGCTTGACTTTCATGGAAGAAAGTTAAGATGAACATAAACACATACGACTGTGACCAGTGTGAATTATCACTGGTTTCTGTGGTGTTTTCCTCTCAGTTGTGTCTTGTAATTCACACGTTTTTCTTTTTTATTTCCTGACAAGTTGGTTGATCCTTTAGGGCTTTAAACATGGCAGTAAAACTTTAGACAAACCACGACTGTGCAAAAACTAGTTAAAACTGTTTTGTAAAATTAAAAAATCAAGAGAAAGTTTTAATCTAGTCTGAGAATGTGTTCTTCTTCAAGAGGGAACCCATGGAGTGTGCCCCGACTATGTTTTCATTGTCTGGACCCTCCCCATCCTGACAACATCTAGATTCTAGATCGTTGTGGAATGTATTCCCACAGTTATTTGATTTTTTGCACTTATATAAATATTAAGACTGTCAAAATAAAGGTGTTAATTAGTGAAATTAATCAGATTAAAATGTCAACTAATGGCCAAGATGACACTCACTTTACACCCAATAATCCTACTCTATATCCTTTAACCCTCTCTCAAACAGTCAAATGTTATTTACACACACTGTGGGAAAACTAATTTGTTTCACTGAAGCAGCTCGAGACCGTGTTTGTGGAGGCTTCAGTTTCAGGTCAGGAGCTCAGCTTGTGTCAGAGCAGCCTCACTGAGAGCAGGGCAGTAAATAAATAAACAGTTGACAAACTGACTGAGACGACTGTGAGGGACGGTAGACTGATTTATGTTGTGGTGGACAATCTTCACTGAAGATCTGAAAGCAACTGCCAAGACAGCAGTAATGACTGAAATCCATAATACTTTTTCATTATTTTCTTGACATTTTTCCACCATAATAATAATGAAACGCACACATCTATCTGATATTATTTTATTCTATTCAGGAAAGCTGATTAATCATTTATCATATATCATTAAATAATATTAGCATTTTTCCACCATAATAATAATGAAACACACACATCTATCTGATATTATTTTATTTTATTCAGGAATACTGATTAATCATTTATTATATATAATTAAATAATATTAATCTTAATTAATCACAGCTACCCTGGGATTAACCAGATACAAACATTTAAATCAGTGGTGTCAAACATACGGCCTATGGGCCGAAACCGTCCCGCTTGGGGTCTCAATCCGGCCCACATGAGGAATTTTGAAAAAAAAAAGTTAAAAGAAATTTAAAAGTTTTTTATTGTTTTTTCATTATTATAATTGATTTTGAAAATGTAATTTTTTTTTTTACTACTAGAATTTGTGGTATTGGGATTGGAGATGCTAGGACCACACTGCAGTTATTTAGTGTGTTTTTTCTGATTCTAGTTTAATGTAATCCATAATCACTCAGGCTGGCCAGCTCCACCCTTGATTACGGCACTCGATGAGAAGATTCTTGGCAGACTTCACAGCTATTGACGGCAGATATTCAAGTAACTGTGAAATGTCACGACCAGAAACGATTTGCAGAAACTGGGTTTTATGTCCAGAAACATGTTGAGAGCTAATTCTACAAATACTTTCAAAGGGATTGTGAGTAGAACCAGCTGACACCTGACTCATCTGTCATCATCCTCACCTCTGACACGCCTCTGCCTGCACGTACTGTACGGTGTAGAAGCACAGAGCCGTGCGTCCTCACACAGTGACCAACACGTACAAAACCCAGAGAGATTAAAAATGGCAGAAGCAAAAATCCCCTCCGATAAGAACCAGCGTCTGTTTCTGATTTTCATCCTGCTTCACATTTGCAAAACATTCATGTCACGGCTATGTCCCCGATGACCTGCATGATTTAATTTGTAGTGAAAAGCTGAAAGAAAAAAACAATCCCAACATGCAACCTGAGGCACGGACCACTCCGACAGTTAGAGCGAAAACAAATCTGAAAAAAAAAAAAACTCCCCAGAATCAACTGGAAAAGTCAGAGAGTGGGAAACACGGCATCATTAGTTCTGCTGCAGAGTCAACAAAGAGAGAGAGTGACATCACGTCCACAATGAGTTAAAAGTCACCAGGATGAGGAGAGCGTTTGTTTGACATCACGAGATGCCAGTGTGTTACTGAGCAGCTAATAAATTCTAGCCTGAAAAGGAGAAAAAAAAAAAGATCCCATGGCCGCTTACATCACACACAAACCTAGTGTTTCACCTACAAATCTGGTGTGTGTGAGTGTGTGTGTGTGTGTGTATAGTCTCTAATGTAGGGGTGTGTGTGTGTAAACTTCCTAAACCAAAAACATTTTTTGGCTGCTCTCCCACCAAATAAAAATTGATCTGCTGCAGCAACTGAATCCCTGGAAGATAACGGCCACTCATGGCATCACAGCTCATACATTCATGTTATGTAACATAGACCTTACTGTAGCTCAGTGACTCCCAACCACTGGGCCGTGGCACACTAGTGGGCCGTGAGAAATCAATAGGTGTGCCGTGGAAAAAGGGTTTTTTTCCCATTAATATATGTATAAATTAACCCTTTCATGCATGACGGTCACTACAGTGGACAGCTATTAAAATGTCATTTTCTATGATAAGAATAGGTTTTGATGGCAGTGTTGCATATAAGCCTCTACAGTGGATTCTCAGGCGTCCACTGTAGTGACCGTCATGCATGA